TGATGGCTTCGATGTAGAAATTATTGAAGTTAATTGATGCAGCTCGATAGCAGAAAAACAGTCTAAATATATATCTGATAACCACGTCTCCACAACATTCTAATTTCAATGAATGAGTTCCTTCACTTCTCAGAATGCCTTGAAAAATCCAGTGGAACTTGCTAGCTCAACATGTAACACATTTGCTAGTGGAGGTGCAACAGTGCACAAAACCTATGGCTTGGTGTGGTTTGGGTACCACAGATAACATTTATTTTGAATGTAAATATAAGACAGCAGCTCTTCATTCTTCTCACTGTAGCACATTGAAATGCTGGCATAAAGTTAAAAAAATTGCAGTTCTAGAACAAGCTGTTGCTTATTTAATTAGATTTTGACTAGACACCAAAACTTCGTTGAAATACTCTCACACTATGTGACGCTGTCTGTTTAGTCAGTTATCTGCAGGAATAAGACAAACACACTACCAAGCAATCCAATAGCTGTTGATGTTAGCCAGTCTTTATGAGGGATAAGGATAGAAGTGTGTAATATTTAGAAGGATCTATTGTCAGAAATGGAATATCATATCCATAGGTATGTTTTCATTAGTGTATAATCACCTGAAAATAGGAATTGTTTTTTGTTTCCTTAAAACGAGCTGTTTTTATCTACAGAGGGAGCGGGTGGAAATTAAACCGACTGCATTTATTGGAAAAGTATTTATAGAACAGCCTCAGAATTGAGCTTCAAAGCAATGTTTCAGTAAGAGAGCTATTTACAGAACTTTATTTTAGATAAAAGTTGCTATATTTATTGTTTATAAGATAATGGATACTGACAAATTTAAAAAAAAGTAACGTTTCCATACGGGATACTTTTTGCAGACAGATTCTGGGGAAATACTTTTAAGGATTAGAATACGTTTTAGGATTCGGAAATGGATTGAAAACAAGATGGTTAATAATTATTAATTAAATCAAGAACTGTACAAGCTAACCTCCATAAACACATATCATATGGTTGATTCTGTGGTGTTTGATTTGTCTTCAGGAGTATCCAGGAAGTCAGACGGCTGGGTGGGGCTGGGCTGCTGTGAGCTGGCTATCTCAACTGAGTGCCGCAGGGAATGCAGACAGGTGAGGTCTCTTCCACATTTATTTTTTAAGAATGACTGACCTAATGTTACCGTTATTCATGTTTAGGTTAGGTTCCCTTATGCTGTGTTTTTTGTTCTGTGTTCATGACAGAGTTAACCTGCTTTCATTTCATTTCCCTTTCCCATATAGGCATCATCTAAAAATGACATAACAAAAGTATGCAAAAAGGTCACAGAGGTAAGTCTAAGAGTTTTAGAATACTGTGATTAATTCATTAGATGCATGTTAACTGGTTGTGTCAACCCAAATGATATTACTATATTATTATAATATATTACTACCACTATTCGTCATACCTGTACTTCCTCTAGCATACATTTCTCCAGCAGTGGTGCTACTGCCACTATTGCTACCACTGTGAAACATACAATACTAGTAGATATTTTAGATCTGTGATATTCATGTACAGTACCATTTTCTTTGTGTTTATTCTGGTGGTACAGCTCGTTACTGGTTACTTAGTGCTCGCTGATAGGATTATCCAGCTACTTACACAGGGTTACAAACCCAACAATGTTAATAGTAACTTTTAGAGAGGCTCTTTAACATAGTTTAAGTTTTTCTTCTTATTCATATTAAAGCTACAGTAGGTAGCTTCTGTGAAAATATATGTCATTTTTCTGGCTAATTCTAGTGCTACTAATGGTTTTTGCAAGAATCCACTTTGCCATTTGGAGCATTAGAAAAAATCAGAAGAACATGTTTTTTTCACAGATTATCTGTCTCATGTACTACTGTCAGGATATAGTGAAAAACAAAGTTTCAGCAAATATGACAAAAAATAAAGTTTTATATAAATTACCTACTGCAGCTTTAATGAAAAGAGAGAGGGGTGGGGAAGATTAATCTGAAGGGTCACAAGATGGTTAAAGGAATCAGAAAGATTCAAATGAACATATTTCTGCTGCACAAATGTATGTTTTATGAATGGATTTTTAATGACTTTTTATTACAGATTTTAAGTTTTTCCTGTAACTGCTGGATACTTCCTTACTAAGTATTTTCAAACCTATACTAATCCCTCAGATAAAACAATCTAAGAAGGAAAAGTCACATTTTAGTTGAACTGCTCATGATTCAAAAAGGTCAGGAGCTGCTGAGATAGAGTTATGCTTTTGTTAGTATGCTTTTTGTATTATAAAGTGTTAAAATAGTGAGTTCTGTATCACCACAGCTTTTCTCCTTTCCTTCTAGAACTCCCTCTACAGCTGCATCACCAAAAATGAAAGTAAGTTGTTAGTCACACAGACATACACGAGATGAACAGCGAAGAAACCAATAATTGCAAACACTGATCTCATCTCTCCATCCAGCCAATAAATAAATAAACCCTTAAGCACACCACTATCTTCCAGGACCAATAGACAGGTCGTTTGTGTTCTTTCTCTGTTCTCATTCTTGCACTGTGTCACACATACTGTAAATACACAACATGCATACACACATAGCAGAGCGGTGTTGTTTGCCTGGCAGGATGTGAGGTCAGAAAGAGAGGACTAAATTCCACCTACGGCACACAGGTCCAGTCATTGTTAATGAGACAGTATGTAGCACCAACATTTTTTATTTTTTATTTTGGATTTTTATTTTTATTTTTTTCAAGAATGCACTAGGAGGAGCCAGAGGAA